CCCCAAAACCCCAAAACCCCAAAACCCCAAAACCCCTTTTAGAGACATAAAATTGAATGAATGGAACAGGAAATTAGTCTATTACTCTTGGATAGTGGCATCATCGTCTTTCATATTCCAAATACTAATGCTGTTCTTCTTGCCCATACCAAGGCCGGCGTCAATGTCTAGATTCATTCTGCATCTTTCGATATCTTCTGGAGGCATCTCATAGTCTCTTCTGCTCATCACATTAGTTGTGTAGATAGGGAAATCTATACAAGTTGATCAGTTTAGTGAAGAAACACTGAAAACCCAGGAAGTTTTCAAATCATACCTTCACCTGTGACTTCTTTACAAACTTTTACGAAAGGAGGAATGGAGATCTATATTTTAAGGTTTCGAAAATACTTCATCACTCTTGGTATCTGTTTCCAGTCTCAAAATAATTGGATTTCCCTTTATGCTCTTAAACACATCTACAACAAAGTTCTGGTTCTTGTAAATAAAGCAGTGTCTAATCTTCTCTACAGGACTGGTATTCTCTATTTTCTGATCAGAGAGCTGGATGAACTCTCTTGCCGAGATCTGTCTTTTCCTTATAATTTCTTCACCTTTAACAACTGTCTTTGATTCGTGGATATAAGTGTACGAATCTTCTTTTCCACGGCTTCTAATCTTGCTTTCTATTTCTTCTGTTCCTCTTGGAGCTAAGAAGATTTCTTCAACTTCAAATGTTTCTCTTTTAAGGCCAGTAGGTTCGTTTATGATGAATCTTCCTTCTCCATCTTGCATGAGCAAAAATTTTCTTTGAACAAAGGCTGTATCCGGAAGACCAATATGCTTGGTTACTGTTTTCAAAATCTCTTGAATCTTGCCCTTAAACCCACCTTCATGATGATTGTCTATGATCTTGAAATGAGGATGACCGGTCCAAGCATTAATGAGCTTTGAATCAACTTCCTTTGCTTGCTCAATGGTCTCGTATCTTGCCTCGTTATTCTTACCATAAAATTCTTCGGCTCCATCAGCAGCAGTGACCAAGTGGATTACAGCGTCATATCTTCTATCTCTGAGTTGGATGGTTGTCCAGTCAGTTTCATTAAGAATTGCTTTCCAAATCTTGGGGCTTGTGTAAGCACTCCCGTCCATAACTCCTCTATCCATGAGCACAACTCAAGGTTGACATGAATTAATACCAATTTCAATAAACACATCTTCAAGGTGCATTTGCATTTGCATCAGACTGATCTGGAACTTTACTGCTTGGGAGAACGACATGGAGGAAGTCTGGATGAAGCATCCTCCCTTCATCATCATTGTGGCTGCTTCAGGCACTTCCAGCACCATATATCCTTTTTCCTGCAATTGGGATCTCAAAGTGGCAAGAGAAGTTGTTTTACCAGCACAAGGACCTCCAGTTATACAAATTCTGTAAATGTTTTGATTTGTTCTAATCCGAGTGTCCCTATCTCGTGACTGTCTCCTTCTCAAGACTCCTTCAGGTTCATCATATTCATAATTAGGCTCAGCTGCCTTCTGAGAATTCTGTTGGAGGAGCTTATTCTGCTGTTTCACCATCTTAAAAATTCTGAATGAGAAGTAGAAGGATAGTAGGGAGATTAAACAGAAGATCACAGTGAATGGGCTAATGTCTAGAAGAGAGCTCTCTGCTGCCTCGAACCTATGTATCATTTCTTCAGTGCTCGCCTGAGACATTTTTGGATTAATATTCAATAATTTTAAGCTGGCAAGGGGTTTTGGGGTTTTGGGGTTTTGGGGTTTTGGGG